TGCCTCTGGACCTCTAAGCTTGTCTGTTCCCATCTGATCTGTTTGCCTGACCTGTCTTCTGAGTCCTTCCGTATATCTGCCTGTGTACCTTACCTCTAACTGTGACACGACTCCATTCAGGATTCCCCCTTGGCACCTCCCAGGATCTCTCACCTCCTGACTCTGACTATCGAGCACATCACAGACATTGACTCTGGCTTCGCCCTCCGGATTATCCTGCCTTCCTTCATCTGCTCTGTTCTGATCTCCTGCATGTCCTCCGACCAGCGATCCGGGACTCTCTGTGCAGCAAACGCCACTTTGCATTTGCATGCTTCCGGCTGGAACCATCCCTACCCTATAGGCTCGAACTGAACTATAAGACCAAACCTCCCTGTCTTAGATGCCAATGCCACTCACTAGAGTTCAGTTTTCAAGAAAAGCTTTGAAAAAATCCAAGTGTTTGTGTGCTTTGTCTATTTTGGGCTCTTGTAGCATCTAGTCTAATATTAAGTCACATTTGTTTATATACTAGTGTCATTTATTGATTTTTATATATATTGATTTTAATCATTAAAAGCTTGTTTTATGTTATACATTACTTTAGTAGAATTGTTAAAAAAAACAGTCTATTTAAATATTTAATTGAAAAAGAATTACAGAAATATATGTATACAATATCAGAAGATGCAGCACTCTTTTCAATATATTTGCAATATATTAATGATTTAATGTGAACAAAAAGTTATATCTGAGAGTCTCATTTCTTCCAGAGCAGCACCCTCACATGTAACATATGAAACATCTAATTAATAAGTTTTTTATTTTATTTTCAAGTGGGCCAAGTCAATTATATTAAAAGTAAACTAAAGGGAATTGCCACTGTAATGTCATAAATATCTATGTTCTCTGGTTTAAAACAGGTGTATCAGTATGTAGCCAAAGTTCGTACATCTGATGTTGCCCATAGTGGTCCTCAGTGTACTCATGACACATGAAATATTAGAAGGAACTTGGCCCACAGACCTGCATCCGTGCTTGTAGGTGGTTAACATTTACAACATAAATCAACATAAATATCACAAAAAATAAGTAAATAAACTACAGTGTTGTTTTACTGTTATAAAGAAGATGAAGGGTTATGAATACTTTTGTATTGCACTGTACATGTTCTTTATATTTATGAATGACATACTTTATTGAGAAAATAAATCCCTCAGGAGAAGGCATTATGCAGTGTAAGCCTCAGGTAATGGAGCATCATAATTTGAAAAGAGTCAACATAAAAATCCTCTGCCGCCATCTCCTGGCCAACGTAGCACTGTGAAGCACTGCATCCTCAAGATTGTTGATATCAGTGATTCATCTTTCAAGCAAAATCTGTGCAGATTTGCATGACAGCTGTAGCTGTTTGCTTGTGCTAGAGCCTACCCATCATAGCTGGAGACCAAAGCTCTGTAGGAAAAATAATAAATTGCTCTAGTCATGAAGCCAAAGCTGAATGCTGTGTAGAACATTTATAGATTTGCAGTCATGCCTCTTAGAATGCATCTCCCACAGTGAAAACCATGTCTGTATCAAAATTTATTTCACAGGATAAAGAACATCTGTAAAGATAAATAACCATGTTTATTTAAAGATTATCATGGTTTAAATGGTAGAGGCATGACAGCTAAGCAGTGAGCAGCATGTGTTCATGTCAGAATAAATGAAGGCACTCATTCATCTATTTCCATAAATACGTTATTGCACAAATAAACACCAAATTGATTTTCTCTGCAATCACTGAAAACACAAATAATGAAGGTTATTAATCAGACTGAAAACTAAAAGCTCATTCTTTGGTGTAGTTTGTGTAAAATACATTTAATTCAAGCTCATAAGTAAAACTCAGCTATTTGTGAATAAATAAAGCATAACTTAGATAACTTAATAAAAAAAAAAACAATGTAACTCTGAAAAGGATGGATTTGCCTAGATTTAGTGATGGGGTTGCTAGTTCTATACATACTGTCTTAAACAATACAGCCCCTTTAAAAAAGAAAAACTTTTAAAGTAGAATGCTGGATCCCTGGTTAAAAGCAGAGCTGCACACTTTTAAGCAAGAGGCTAGGAAACTGCAGAGATGCCTATGGGAATCCTACCTAGTCTGGAAAAACAGTTTACTGCCATATAAGAACAACATGAGAAGAATAATAATTAGGGTTGGGAACTGATAAGATTTTCGATTCCGATTCCCTTATCGATTCTGTGCAACGATTTGTTTCTTTGTCGATTCCATTCCATGAAATAGATTTACTGTAAAATTTCTGGAAATAAACTAATCTCCCCCTGATTTAAATAAATGAGCATCACCATTCTCTCGCTCCCTGAACTGCGGAGCAACTTCGTAGCATGTTTCGTTACATCCATTGCAATAGCTGGAATCATGTAAGAATTCCAGCTATCAGTAGTTCTAATTAAACATGCTAGCAATGAAGGGTCTGATTAACGGGAAAGACACACTCCCTTAATAACCCCAAAGAGAGGTAGGAAATTGGTTTATTTCCAGAAATGGCAAAGGATTTACTAGGAACCACATGAAGCACAGCCAGTGATTTAAAACTAGCTACTTACCACCAGAGTTGCCATCCATGCTGGTCATAACTAAAACACGTCGTTTGTTAAAATGTATGCCATTGTCTGTGCGCAGGTGTGCGGATGAAATTGCCACTTTGCAGTGATAGCAAAGCGCCTTGTGTTTTGCTTTTCTAGACTTACGCCTGATCACGTCGTAATTGCTTTTAGAATGCTGTATACGTAACTTGTGTAAAAAAGGTGATGTATGTCGTGCTGCCTGGAATCGATAAGAGAATCATTAAGCGAGCTGTCAAATGGTTCCATGGAATTGGAACACACGGAACCGGTTCTAAACAGGAACTGGTATTTGATTCCCATCCCTAAGAATAATTCTAGATTTATTTTTAATACAAACTCACCCAGAGCCATAGCTCTGTTAAACCATCCATCCCACCTGCAGGATGGATAGACTTAATGTTTTTATGGGATTCTTTATAAATAAGATTGATTCTATTAAAAATAAGATCATTAGCACTCCTCTAACTATGATTGGTTTTCTCTCTGGAAGGTGTGCCAGCATCTGAGGTTGCCATAGAATCTGAACCGGGTCTAGACTGCTTTGATCCAGTTGAACTTTCAGAGTTAGCAAAGCTATTGTCTTCATCTAAGCCTTCTACGTGTTTGTTAGATCCATTTCCAACCAGGTTATTTAAGGAAGTATTCCCTTTGCTTCTCCTCCATTCATTTTAGATGTGATTAATCTCTCATGTTACAGGGATAAGTACCAAAGGCTTTCAAGGTTGCTGTAATTAAACCTTTACTTAAGAAACTGTCTCTTGACCCAGATGACTTGGTCAATTATAGACCTATATCCAATCTTCCTTTCTTATCTAAAATTCTTGTGAAAACAGTTGCCAAACAAGTGTGCAACAATTTACACCATAATGATTTCAGTCTGGCTTTAGAGCTCATCATAGCACAGGAACAGCTCTTCTTAAAGTCACTAATGATATTCTCGTGGCCTCAGATAATGGACTTGTATCCGTAGTTGTGTTGCTAGATCTCATTTCTTCATTTGATACGGTTGATCACAATATTCTGTTAAGAAGATTTGAATATTTTGTAGGAGTTAAAAGAACAGCACTAGTTTGGTTTAAATCTTATTTATCTGACAGATTTCAGTTTGTTCACATTAATGATAAATTTTCCTCATGCTCAAGGGTTACCTGTGGAGTACCACAGGGATCAGTGCTAGGACCAATTCTCTTTACTCTATATATATGCTCCCAAATGGTAGTTATTGGACAGGATGGGATTAATTTCCACTGTTATGCTGATGATACTAAGCTACATAAGC